TAAAAAATTATGAAGACACTTGTAATGAGATGCTGAAGAACAAAGGCTTTATCTTATAAGCCAGCGGTTTTTTGAAGTGTGGTACCTAAATGATGGGGTGGTATATGAGATAGAAATTTAACATTTTTGTATTTCTTTTTACTATTATCTTTTGTTTACTGGTTTTCTAGTTATGGTAATCAATACTGATTTTCTATTTATAGTATAATATAAATTTTCCTTTAAAAAAAAAAGTCAAAAAGGTCAATAAAAAATATTGAGGAAATAATAGTATAGATCTTGTGAAGAAATGGCAAAAATCCCAAAGGTGGTATCTAAATGCTTTAAGTATGAAAACTCAGCTAACAGAAGCACATAAAAGGTTTTATCTGGAAGTGACATGGTCATACTTCAGAGAGATCATTCTGTACGTGGAAGATGGAGGGGATGGGATAAAATACCGGTGACAAAGAATCCAATTAGGAAGTTGTAATGGCCTAGACCAGAGGACAGCAAACTATGGTCCACTGGCAGTATCCTGCCAGCATGCTACTTGTGGCCTGTCCTTGTATGGCTTGCAAGCTAAGGATGGGTCTTACTTTTTTAAAGAGTCGTTAAAAACAAAAAGAAAAAGAAAACTTCATTTGGCTTGTAAAGCCTAAAATATTTACTACCTAGTCCTTTGCAGAGATAATTTGCTAACTCCAGCTTAGACTATTGATGAAGCTACAAAGTGAGTCTGTAATATGAGGATAAAGCATAAAAAAACTTCTGAAGCAGAATCAACAGGACTTAACGACTAATCAAATGTATGTGGTTAAGAGCAGGCAGAAGTGGAGACTGATGCTAAGGCTTCTATTTAAAACTCAAAGTAGATGGAGACACCATTACCCAAGAGAAGGAAACAGGAAGAGGCAGAGTCTCTTTTAAAAATTAAATCACTTTTTTTCATTGATAACAAAAAATAAGAATAAATGACAACAAGCCAAAATTAGATAACAGACTGACAGTATTATACCATTAGGAAGACAAACTTGCTCAAAGATGAACATTTGCCCTCAGAATATATATTTTGCAACTAAGGGGAAATGTGTTCTGTTTCCTCTATTTCCTCTCCTTAAAATGAAGAGGCTGATATTTTACTGTAGAAGGGAAAAGTGCTTACGTACAATTCTAAAAGGTACTCACATTTAAGTCTAACATAACAATATCCTGTTTTTGCATATTTGCATATCCACTTTTTCAGGAAGCTTCCAAATAGTTTCATGAAAAGTAACTGTCCACTCTGAAAAGCCACTTGCTGCTACACACTAATGAAATGTTTTAAATGTTCTGCTTTTAAATACAGGTAAAAATCCACTAATAGCATGATAAAAATTTTAATCCTGAAAACCTGAACTGCTTTCAGAACTAACCAAACATACATAAATTTCAAAACTTTAAAAGTTTAAGGGACATGAGGCACAAGTGCAATGAGCACAGACATGGCTTAGTACTTACAGAGGGTTTTCTAAAAAGCAAAAAGTGATTCCATTGCCAACAGAGTGTTTGTGTAATTGCCACTTAAGAAAAGATTCAAGTGTCCTTTTCACAAGACAAAAACGCAAGGACCAAAGAGAAAAGTTATAGATGGGAAAATTGGACTTAATTGTTTCTAGAGTAACATATTAAAACTGCAACTTGAAATTCTCAAGAAATTGCTATATTAAATTTATGAGCATATAGATGATTTTAAAAGTAAGATCACTTTTCTCCATTTTCTTAAGTTTTGAAAGAATCAATATGTGAAGGTAAATAGAAAGTTCTAGAAACACCTAAAAAAAAACAGTAGGTCAATTCAAGGTAATATAAGTACGTAAAGGAAGATACTACCCTTATAATTGCTCACTAGTTCCAAAGCTCCAGCTCTAAATATGAGAAATTTAGATTTCCCACACAGAAAATTAACAACATGGTTGCTATTCTTATACCAATCATGGCTACTATTTACCAAATGCTTACCATGTATACTGGGTGCTCTACCAAATGCCATACAAATATTATCAAAATTAATACTCACAATAAACCTACAAACTTAGTATAGATCACAATCTCTTATCTGAAACCCTGGTGGGGGAGTAAGATGTATTTCTGAATTCAGAATTGTTCAGATTTTAGGAAGACGATATATCCACATACTATTTGTGGTGGTTTAGGTTCCAGCAGGAAACAGGTGGCACACTCAAACTGGGATATTAGAGATTATGTATAAAAAAGAGGGAAGGGTTTAGGGAAACTAAAAGAGATAGCAAGATTACCAGACCAGGAGTAGGGGCAGGGAGCAGCTACCAGAAACCAGAAACAGAGAGCGTTGCCTGACAAAAACTATCTTCATGGAGACATGCAGCCAGCCCACAGTGACCCTGTAGGAGGGGAGCCAAGAGAATACATACCCCAACCTTGCTTGCTTTCTTCCCTCCAATCTCCTGCTTGTATTCCCCATGGGCCAACTGGAAGCTAGTGAGGAAAGAAGCCCAATGATATCCTCCACCCAGGTCAGCCTCTCAGGGTACAGAGTAGGGTGGAGAAGGAGAGAGAGTGCATTTGAAGAGGCAAAGGCAAGTTATCCAGGACATAGTTGTATTAGTCAGCACAGACTAACTCCTGTCACAAACAACCTCAAAATATCACTGGCTAAGACAACAAAAGTTCATTTCTCACTTATATCATGTCATCCAGTAGTTCTACCATCTTCTAGGCTCTTGGAGACCCCGTACTGAACCTTCTGTTTCTAGGAAGTATTGACAGAAGAGAGCAAGAATGGAAGACTGGTGAAAAGTTAGACACCAGGCCTGGAAGTGACATACATCATTGGAACCTACATTTTACTGACCAGAACTCAGTGACATGACACTAACTATAAGGATGCTAGGAGTGGTATGGCGATGCACCCAGAAGGAATAGGAGAAACACAAATATAAGGACTAACTTTATTGTATATTATGTACCACTCCAATGGAATCTGAGACAGTACCCCCAAATCAACCTCACTAATATTTCTGCAGTGAAACATTAATATCCACACTTAGTGGGACAAATATAGATGATGATAATAAAGATAATGAAAAGCCTCATGCCAAAGCAGGTTAGGTGTTTCCACCAAATAAGTTTTGGTGCCAAACTTTTTTTGACAAAACTTCAGGTTTTTGGAGGATTTTGGATTTCAGAATTGCAGATAAGGGATTATGACTGTGCATTATGATCCACATTATACAAATGAAGAAAACTCTTAAAACAGCAGCCAGAAAGTAGAGATGGGACTTAAATTCAGGCCTGTGACTTGCAAATTTATGCTTATGATGCAGGGAAAAATGGAAATAACCAAATGTCTCATTATTTCAGACATCATTAATGATATCAGCTCTCAGACATGAAGAAACGAGGAGATACTTCAATAAATTCTAATGTTTATTGTGTCCTATTCTGTACAAGCACTCATTGTGCTCACAGATGGAGGGAATACAAAGAATAAGAGGTAGTGCCTGACCACAAGAAAGCCAGAATGTAGTGGAAGAAAGGTTTAGGATACGTCTATGGTAAAAAGCAGACTCTGATAAGTACTCTAGAGATATGAAGTCGTAAAATGACTGATTCTGAAGTGTAGACTTAGGGAAGGCTCACATAAAAGCTGCTGCCATCAGAGTTAGACCTTGAAGGAAGGACAGAATTTTGAACAAGGAAGAAGTAATTTGAAGGGGAGGTTGCACAAAGATACAGAGGTGGGAGGTATTTAAAGGCGTGAATAATGGTAAACGATTTTTGTTTGTTTGGGAGCATTTGAGTGCTGAAGAGTTCAGAATTTTAAATTTTACTTAATTATCACCAACAGGCCTGGGCAGCTTAAGATCAATAAGAAAAAGAAGATAATGAGAAATCTAAGGTTGGAGAGCCATTTGGCTAGGTAATGATGCAATTAACTGAGAAAGCGATTATGAGAAGAACATATCTGGGTACAAGAACAGGAAAGGGAAAATGTCGAATTTTAAATTTTATTTATTTATTTATTTATTTTTTTGTGAGGAACATCAGCCCTGAGCCAACATCTGATGCCAATCCTCCTCTTCTTTTTGCCAAGGAAGACTAGCCCTGGGCTAACATCCGTGCCCATCTTCCTCCACTTTATATGGGATGCCGCCGCAGCATGGCTTGACAAGTGGTGTGTCGGTGCGCGCCCAGGATCCGAACCTGTGAACCCCAGGCCGCTGAAGCAGAGTGCGCGCACTCACCGCTGAGCCACTGGGCTGGCCCCGAATTTTAAATTTTAAATAAGTTGAGATTGAGGTGTTTGAAGCATCAATAAAGAGTTGTCTGTGCATTATCTGAATACTGATTTATAAAATCTACTCTGGTTGCTAAGAGTTGTTTTATTTTTACTTCTTGGGTCTGATCATGCTAACCTCCAGTTAAGTGAGGTTCTATATTATATGTATCATATAAATAAGATTTAGCAAGCACTGGTTCTATTCAACCAGGAGAAAAAACAAATCTTCATAGCAAAGTAAAACAAGTGAGGAACATGTACTGACTCGTACTTCTGCCATTTATGTAGCAATATGCTTGTACATCAACACCATTGTTCACAACCCTGCCCTTTTTAAAGTGCTGGCCAATGTGATGAAAACACTAGCACAATACAACTCAACTTTCCTGTATGCTAGTTATCAAAAAAAAGGAGTGATCAAAAGACGAAATTCCTTTAAAGAATTTACTTAATGTCTTTCAATGTGGTGGTTTAACATACTAAAAAACATTTTTTGTAAACTCAGTAAGAAAGAAACACTTTCTTATACAATCCTTTTCTTATTAAGTTAGTTTTATATTAATAAAGTTTAACTTCTTTTCTAATAGGTTACTTTAATTATTTACTAGAAATTAAATTCCTGGACCACTATATTCCTAAATTATTTTTAATATTTCAAAATAACCATGGCCAGAACTACCCTACAAACATATATACAAGAAGCTTTAAGAAAAAAAAAATAGACATCTATCTCGAATGTACTTAACTTGATTTTAAGTCATGATAATCACAAGCAGAATAGTCCATTCCTCCACTTAGAGTCAATCCAGTGAAGAAATTCACTAAAGTACACATGGATAAGGAGAATAACAAAGTGGTATTCACTGGGTTCTTTAAATCAGCAAGTAGATTTTAGAAAGACTTTATTTGAATTCCTTGATCTCTGCCAGTCCATCTGTTTACACCAATTGTTGGGAAAACACTCAATAGAACATTTCCAAACAGCAAACAGCAGGTTTAGAACACGTGACTTCCTCACTAATCACATTTAAATAGCACAGAGTTAGAAGTCAGATTCCCCACAGGACACTGGAGAAAGCTTGAACTCTTAATCTTCAAAGAAAAAACTCAAAAGGTAATTTGAAATTTTCTCAATTACATATTAGAACCAAATTTAACTTTTGGTATATCCTAGATTTCTAAAATTAAAGCTTGAGCTTTAAGATTAAAAAAAAAAAAAAGAATATTTAACCATGCCCAACATGGGCTAGCTGCATTATCTCAAACGTGGCAAGTCATTAGATTTGAATATAAGATAAAAGAAAATTAGCCTTACTTTAAAAATGGTTTACTAGAAACTTTTGGTATATGTCTATCCTATGTCTTTACCACATCTTCTAAAGAACACTGCACTAAGACTCAGACTCAAGTTCTACTTCTGGTTATTTTTAGATAAGCATCCTCAGGTAAGTTATGCTCTTTGTCTACGTCCATTTGTAAAATGAAGGGGTTAATGTTGATCGTTTCTAAATTTCTTCTTATCTTAAAACTACGAGATCTGTTAAACCAAAAGTTGGCATTTTCCCAGTGCTGGGATGAGGTTTTCATTTTTTCCCCCTTTTATAAAAGCTAGTTCTTAGATTTGTTTGTGATCCAAGTGTGAGATTAAATTTCTATAATTATTTTGAAACAGGAAAATGATGTTCAAGCTATCACTCATCAGCCTGTTCCTCCTGTTTGTTGATAACCCTTCGGGGACAACTCTAACACCAATGGCCTCAAGTTCTGTGACAGTCTTGAGTCCCAATGTGAGCCTGTATTCTAGGACAACCCCGAATCCCAAGACAACCTCAAATTCCAAGATAACTTCAAAACTCCAAACAACTCTGAATCCCAAGATGACTTCAAATCCCAAGACAACTCCGAAAACAACAGTGACCCCAAAGATAGCCACAACCACAAATACGAAGACTACGAAAAGTGGTGGCACCATACTGAATCCAACAGACAACATTCACTTTCTTTTCTATGTAATATTTTTGCTGTTTTGTGTGCACCGAGGCTGAAGTGGACTTGAACTGTCTGCTTTTCTATCTCAGTTCATTATTACCTGTGGAATGACAACAAGCACACTAGGAAAATCCAATTTATTTCAACTTGCTTCTTAGGAAATTATCATTATCCTAGCTTAATTTGGTTGTTTGCAAATTTTAATTGTGTAAGTTTAATTAGTACTTTAATATGATGGTTTCCTTCCTTATAAATGCTAAAATAAGCAAAATACCACTTTTGCCCTTTAAATGTTTGCAAAATTGAACTGAAACTCAGATTTTTACATTAAAGGTATAAGAGAAGAAATTATGTTGGTGATGTTTAACCAAAGTATGCCTCTGTGTGTGTGTGAGAGACAGGGGGATGGGGGATGAGGAGTGATGTGTGTTGTTTCTGTGTTATTTTATTTTTTTATTAAATAGACAAAAAAGTGCTAATCTGTTAAGGAAAAACTACAGTGCTCTACAAAACAATACACCTATCTATGTCATCATATTTAATGAATGTGTAATAGTAATATGTTGTTATAGTAAAAAAAGGTACCAATTCTGCTAACCTTTGTAATACATAATACAGCTTGCTCTGATGACAAGATTATCTTGCTTTGAGTAAACTGTTGTCTTGTATTTCAAAACATCATTTGTAAATGAGGTGCCTAGAATTCAGAACTTGTCTCTACAGAAATACATCTGATAATTATTTGTGAGATTTTCATGCTGGTCTACAAAGGTTGATTTAACCCAGTAATTTTAACAGTGATAATAACCATGTCATTAATAGCGCAATTGTTAAGGTTTGAAACCCAACTCTGATTCTTACTAGTTATGCTACCATGAGTTAAATACATGACCCAGTGGGATTCCCAAACAAACTTCAGTAATAAACTGACTACAAATGAATCACTTGGGGTGCCTGTTAAATATACAGATTAGGCTCTACCCCTGAGATTTGGATTTGGCAGCCCAGATTAGGGCCTGGGGATACGTTTGTTTGTTTGTTTTAATTCTCCAGGTCATTCTGATTGCTAGGTTTAGGTTTGGGAATGACTAACAACTTCTTTAAGATTCAGTTTCTACAGACGTCAATCACTGTTAATAATACCTCAGAAGGTTATTGTAAATGAAAAGTTATATTATATGCACAGTTTGCCTGATCAGAGAAAGCACTCAGTAAATGTTAGCTCTTGTCATTATTACTACCACCAGCCAAAAAGCAATTGCCAGGTATCACAATATTCCTAAGAGGAAAACTCTTCATTGTAACTTTTAGGTTTTATATTTATAATTATTCTTACAAAAATAATATGTGCTCCTTGCAACAAGTCAAACAATACAAAGATATATAGCAGAAATATTATAATTGGCCCTCTAACTCCTCCAATCATATTCTCCTGAGATAAGTAACGTGAAAAGTTTAATGTGTATACTTGCACACATTTTTCAGCCTATACATTTTATGTGCATGTGAACACACACACCCATATTACTCTGCACCTTGTCAGAGTCATCCTTCTGGGTCTTTTTTGTGTGTGTGTGAGGAAGATCAGCCCTGAGCTAACATCCACGCCAATCTTCCTCTTTTTGCTGAGGAAGACTGGCCCCGGGCTAACATCCGTGCCCATCTTCCTCCACTTTATATGGGACGACACCACAGCATGGCCTGACAAGCAGTGCATCAGTGTGCACCCGGGATCCAAAGCCAGGCCACCAGCAGTGGAGCGCGTGCACTTAGCCGCTACGCCACGGGGCCGGCCCACTTCTGGGTCTTTTTAAAGCAGCACTAGAGGACTTCTGTTACTTTTGCCTGCTCAGAATCCATGTTTCCTCATTCTGGTATTGGCAATCCAATTTTCCTTTGGAAACCTCTGCCCCTGTGCCCCATCTTTCAGGTTAGGCAATTCAAGCAGGGCTGGCTTCACCACTGAGCTCCAGCAGTGGGCACACGATTCAGGCCTAGACAACCAAGAAATTCCATCCCCCTTGCCATGGTGATTGCCTCAGGAATCGGCACGTGACTCAAGCCAGGCCAATATGACTAGTACTTTTGCTGTAACTACTGGGAAAGAAGTGTTTTTCCACTGAGGTTGTTAAGCTGGGAGAACACAAACCATTGCTGGCCACAGCTTAGGAAGAGCCGCCTGGGAATAAAATCAACACAAAGAAAGTAGAATCAAGTACAAAGAAGACATGTTCTCCAGATGACATTGTTCAAAGCTCTGCATGTAGTCATGCAAGAAGCCAGTCCGTCTCTTGATCTTCTTAGGTACACGGGCCAACTGACATCCTTTTTGGTTTACACAAGTTTGAGCTTCATTTCTGTCACTTGTAACAAGCAAAATAAACACAATGCATATAATTCCATAATACAGATGTATCATCATTTATTCAACAATTCCCCTTTTGAAACACAGTTATATTGTTTTCACTTTTTTGCCACTATAAACAATGCTGCAACAATTGTCCTTGTATTTATGGTACTTTAACTACCACAGGGCAGGAGCCTAAGTATATGGGAGGGAATAGGAGGAAAAGATTAGAAACTAAATTAGGTCAAAATTATGGAGCACCTTGCATGCCTGACTACAGAACCCGGACTTTATACAGGGAGTCAATGGTGCCATTTAACTCATCAAGATAGACAGGATTAGATTTGTACTGGAAACTGCCTCCAGAAGCAATGTTAAGAAAACCTGGAAGTAGTTACCTGGGGATTAGGAATTGGGAGAATAATGCTGCATTACTACAGGTAAGAGCTAATAAGAGAGTCTTAGTAATGGCAGTGGGGAAAAAATGGTTTCAAAAGACATTTCCAAGGTACCTAAAATTAACGTTAACCCATTAAGATCCAATTAAAAATCCAAAAATTAAAACACATACCTAAGGCCAGCCCCTGCTAAAGGAACAGCACTAGATGGTCATTCTGAATCACATGACTGCTGGGCTAGGAGCACGTACTTGACTTAAAAATCTACGGGCTGGCCAGCACCGAGCATTAAAGGTTTGCCAAACAGAGATATTTTAGCTGAACCACATTCTCTTTCTGGAATTTAAACTGTGCTGTACTGAGGTAATGAAAGAGTTACTAGCTGGGGTTAAAGCTGAAAGGATACAGAAAGAGGAAAATCATGAGGTAGAGTTGAACAGAAGCCAAGAGAGTGAAAAAGCACAAGCTGGTTCCAGAACCAACAGCCATCTAGTTCTGTCTACATCTGAGCAGGCTCTGCTCTAATTCATATTTTTCCTGAGGCCTATCTTCTTGAGAAAACAAGAATGACTTCTTTGCAATAACAAAGGCCTAACTAAAATATCTTAATTGATTTGCCAATATCTCACAACTAAAATCAAGACTTGATGACTTGATAATGAGGAGGATAAAAGAAAGATGGAAGAATTTAAAATGATTAGGATTTCTAGAGTGGGAAGGAATGGTGATGCTATTGAGAACGAATAGGGTGTGAAGAAGAAGTTGATTTGAATACACACTGAATTAAGTTTTGGACGTTTTAAGCCTGAACTGTCTGTGGACTAGCTGCAAGGAGACTGGAATCCACAGCTCAAAAGATATTAACTAATACATGGTAGTCTAAGCCACAGAAACATAGGAATATCAAAAGAGAAGTCAAACCCAAGTGCTCTTTGATAAAGCTGGCTATAGAGACAAGGCCTTCACCGTCGTCTTCTGGACTTGTACAGTGGAGGAACTGGGCCTCTCTCCGCTCTGAGCTACTGTGTGCTCAGCTGTCCTGGAGCTAAGGGTTCATACCAGGTGAAAATGAAGGCCAGGAGGAGATCTAGTAGGTCCAAGTAAGAAACTGAAAGGACTGAAAATCTGAAATTGGCAGTCATATCCAAAAACAAAAAATAGAAAAGAATATCTCAAACATACTCTGTACAGAACTTCATAGGTCACAAAATAGTTTACGGGAGAGGTAGACAGCATAGTTTTTATAAGCACCTCCCCCTCTGTTTTTTAACATATGAAGAAACAGATTCAGAAAAATTAACTTGTCCAAGATTACACAGTTAATAAGCAGCAGAGCTGGGAATTCTTAGCACTCTCAACTCACTATATTATATATTGGAAATCCCACTGATTTAATCCCACAGGGAGTGTCAGCATCAGGCCCATGCTACATTCCTTTGGCCTTTTCTAGACCACCTTTTCTAGACCACCACAGAGAAGAAATACAATCTTATAGTTTTTAATCCTAAAGAAAAAACCCAGCTTTGAGGTGTTCCAGAAATCTTTGCTACTTGTAAACTAACAAGAATTTAAAGAGGGAGGAGGACACACATCTATCTCTCTCTCTCACCAATGTTTCACTTTTAATTACTTAGACAAAATAGGGAAGGTCAAAATACACTGGTTGTATTAAAGGCTGGGGCTGGAATACAAATATGGTTCACCTCAACTGCAAAAGAAAATTAAAATTGTCTTAGGCAATTCAGAAACGGTAACTGAGATGAAAGTTGGAGAGAGAACTTTCATGGGAAGGTGAAGAGACGTTACTTAGAGTTGTTAAAGAGGAGGGCTAAGTATAAATGCAAGTTTCTATACTCTCTTGATTCCCTAAAACCCCAGTTCTTGGGACTTCTTGGTCTTAATGCTACCTAAATTACCTGATTAAATGACTTTCCCGCCTTCCACTTTCCTTTCTTCACTCCTCTCCCACTATTTCTCAACCTCCATTTGTTTCCTACACACTGCCAAGATTTTGCCTTGCATGATCATTAAGTCTACTGATGTAATTCCTCAGTTTA